TAAGTTATTCTTGACTTTCTTAAGGAGATGCTACATCACACAGCCTGCTGAAAAACACACTTGTTAGAGAAACGCTGTTGAAGGAGTGGCCCACTGCCTTTGTCAGGGCTTATTGTATAACACGGATGACAAAGGCCTCGATTATCACTGCTTTTTAAAAAAAAAAAATCTGAACAAATACAGCAAAATGCCAAAATGTGCAATGTTTGGATGTGGGTACATAGGTGTATGTTTTATCATTCTCTGTGCTTTCGCATATTTTTGAACTATTTTATAATAATAATAATAATTCACTCAATTTCTGACCAACCAGAGGCATCCGCTTTCAAAATTTTGTGACCATCCTCCTGGACATCTCTCTGCTAATGAGCAGTGGTTCTGAGCATGTGCCAACTGTGAGGTGTGAGAGACCCAGGCTCATCTATGCTTTTGCTACTTCCTGCTTTCTGACTTTGGATGAATTCTGTCACACTTTCTGAGCTGTAGTTTCTACACCTCTAAAAGGGGGATCATAATGGTACACACCTAATCAGCTGCTGGTGAGGACGGAATGAGAGTTTTTGTAACGCGCTTAGCACAGAGCCTAGAACACAATGACTGCTAACAACTGTGAGCTATTCTCGTGCATGTGCTAGTGCCTCTGTGGACCGGGCTGTGGGCCACTTTCTATGCCATATAATCCGCGGTGTAAAAAATAAAAAGAAGGATAGAGTAAGAAAAATTTCAATCCTCTAGAGGAACTGGTGTATTTTATCCTTATGGGTTGTGTACTTCTGACCACCAAGAAGTTCAGGCCCAAATTTATGCAAGTGGGTGAGGCCTTATGACCTGGATAATTACGATCTATTTTCCCTTGTCGTGGGGCCCTACTTTTTGTGACTTACTTTAACTCTCAATTTCATTGTATGTGCTGCCTGTGAACCAGCTTGGATCCCTTGTGCAGTGGCGCTGGGATGAAAGGAAGGAAAGAAGAAAGAAGGAGAAAGCCATGGAGGGCAGGAAGGAGGGAAGGTGAGAAGAAAGGATTTGTGCCACAAGACTTTGAAATGATTCATTGCAGTGTTCCGTCCTTGGATTCATGCTAATTGGCATGATTTTTCATCACAGACAGTACTTTTTCAGGTGCTCTCTGCCTGCCCGGGGTTTGTTTCACGTTTTGACTGGCGTGAAGCCTTTAGTGATCATCCCAGTGCAACTGTGAATTTTCATAAATGATGTCACTTGAGAGTGGTCACGGGGTCTGGTCTGCTCTGGTGTCTGATAACTCCTAGAGTCAGTTCTTCATTATCGATGTGGAGATTGGGCACTTTGTTTTTTGGCAGCGAATGTTTCATCCAAGGTCAATTTCCCTCAAGTGCTCAGCACCATTTCAGACGGTGTGTGCTCAGGGAATGCAAACTAATTTAATGTTAGCTTTAGCCAAACCCAGCTAGGAAAGTAAACCTGCTTTTGAAAACACCATAAACATCATCTAAATGATATGTTTGAACATGTACAAATGGATGATAAAATTTCACCTGAAGTCCAAAGGCATTGTTCCATAGCATTTTATTTTTTTATTACTATTTTTTTTGATGAGGAAGATTGGCCCTGAGCTAACATCTGTTGCCACTCTTCCTCTTTTTGCCTGAGGAAGATTGTTGCTGAGCTAACATCTGTACCAATCTTTCTCTATTTTGCTTGTGGGATGCCACCACAGCATGGCTTGATGAGTGGTGTGTAGGTCTATGCCCAGGATTCAAACAGGCAAACCCTGGGCCACCAAAGCAGAGTGCACAAACCCAACCACTATGCCACTGGGTGACCCCCATAGCATTTTTAAATTCATCTTTGAATTAGCCTTATTTTTGTTCTTTGATTAGAAGGACATTTTAGTTTGAAATTATTTAAATACCTGTGTCATTATATTTTATTAAAACTGAGGGCTATCAGAATAGGTTGAGGATATATGTATGTTTCATACTTTGATCATAAAAATGCAACATGTGCTTATAATAGAAAATGAGGAAATGCAGAAAACTGTAGAGAAAATTAAACCATTTATAATCCCTTCACATGGAAATAATCACGATTAACATTTTATTCTATCTCGCTCTACACATTGAGGTTGTAGAGGTTCTCAAGATGAAATTGTAGATTGCTTCCAGAAAAAAATTAGTGTTTGTTTTTTTGAGTTCTAAAGGTACCCTTGGAATTACATCCAGCTCTGCAAGCCCTCTCTGCCTGAAAGAAAGCAGGGCAAGGGGTCTGTCTGACTGCTTCCATAAGGAGAAGCCGTGTATTTTCTTCCTGTACCACCTCTGCCTCCATGTTCCATCCAGGCTGGTTTGGAGAGGCTGGGCTGAGAAAACCAGAGCACCCAGATCATGATGTCTTTCCTAACTAAATTCGAGTGGGTCTCGTTGTCTGGCTTTCTGCAAACGTTCAGAAATCTCAGGGCAATTGCATGGCTTGTGTGACAGAAGGGGGGGGGGAGCAGGGGCAGGGCTTCCCAATAACCTGAGGACGATTCCTATGGCAGAACTCCTTCAGTGTCTTTTAGGGTGATTCCCTTCTGTCTTTTCCCTTACCTCAAAGCACCGAACAGCCAATGTTTTTATACCCATCACGTTTTCTTTTTCTGGAACTGTGTTCCTGTTCTCTTGGAGGATTCTCCCCAATTCCCCACTCTAATCATGAATTTGATTAGGGGCTATTAGTCATTGTTCCCCTCTCCTCCCGAAAGGGTGAGTGCAGGACCCAAGCCAGGCCAATCAGAGACCTTCCTTAGGGGTTTAAAACGAGAACCAAAAAGCAAGGACCTTGCTTCTGGTAGCAAAACCAGGAAGATGTGAGCCCGGCCCTCCAGCGTCTGTGTTTCATGATATATGCAAGATGGAGCCCGCAGTGAGAGGTATTAATCCAGTCCTCAGAGAGTGGTGGTCAAGTGGAGATGATGGAGGGAGTGAGGGAGGAGGGAAGGAAGCAGAGAGAGAAGAATGCTCAGAGGCATTCTAGTCTTCATTTTAACCCTCCAGGTCCCCTGGATTCTCTTCCAAAATGTTGGTTTTCCCTTTCTTAAATTCCATCACTTACCCCAGGAATTTTCCCTACAAATGAGTTCCGAATTGGTTTTCTGTCATTTGCGACCGAGCAATAGAACCAGACTCTCCTCGAAACCCTCTCTCACGCCCCTGGATTCTCTGCTGTTCTCTGGCTCCTCCACTATCTGGATTTCTCTGGCTTTCTGTGCCTCAAAAGCTCCAAGTTCTTAAAATAGTCCACCACCCCCCCTTCCTTGGGGCAGCCTCTAATTCACTGGCAGATAGCAGCTCTGATCAAGCTGATATTTGTTCTTCAAGAGGTGCTGGTTAGTTCTAAAGAATTCCCAGTTGGCAGAACGTGCCAGAAGAGAGACCTTCTTAACTACCCTTACTCCAGACTCTCATTTCACGAAATACACCCAGACACAGAATTATTTAGCCTATCATCTCTACTCTCCCCTCCCACTCATCCCACCCTCATCTTCGCCTGTGGTTCCACAACCCATAGGGCTGAGTCCTAACAAACAAGGCGTCTTTTGGAGACAGTGAGGGTTAACCCTGCAAGACACTATGGCTGGAGTGGCCTCCTCTATGATGCTGTCTTTTAAGCTCATTGTTGAGCTTTTTTAAACTTTTAATATTATTTTGCAGTGGTGAAACGGCAGGATAAGTCACTTACTTTAAAAGAGGTGACAGATGGCCTGGTTTAAAACAAGAGAATATCTCTAGTCAAAAGCCAATAAACACAATGTTGATCAAATGATATAAACCATCCTAATCCTGTAATGGTATAAACCATACTAATCCTGGACTCGCTGGCTTTTCTAAAGAAACCTTGAGTTATGGTTAATGATGGGCTTGGTTTACTCAATAAGTAATTTGCAGCGCCTAATATGTGCCGGGCACTGCACTAGGCTTAGGGACTCTGCGCGTCCCTAGGAGATAAACTTACGTACACCACGTTTGATTGACGGCACAATAAGCTCTAACTGCACACCGTCATTTTCCTCGGAAAGACCTCGCCTTAAAATACCCTCTAGCATTTACTGTTAAAGACCAAGTGCAAACTCCATATCAAGTTATGAATTTGACATCCACCAATGCTCAAAAAGAGACAGGGCTTCTGTCTTTTCTTTGCAACCTGAACTTCGCACATCAACCGGCCGAATCTGAATGAGGTCTGAGAGGCTGCTGAACTGCTGCCAGAAGATACTCCACTGACAAAACAGCATCCCCCTGCTGTTCTTTCTCCTGACAGGGATCTATTTGGAACTGCTTCCAGAGAATGCAGTGACAGTTCCCATCCTTGATCTTTTGGCTTAGTTCCCAGGGAGACCTCCTCATGTTATGTTTTATTCATGGTGGCTCCCAGGGCTGGTTTCTTCCTCATAAAAATCGGTGGTGGGGGTAGGAACAATCAATGAACCTGAAATAAAATTTGAGTGTCACAATAAAACCATCCTTTTGGATGCTGAAAACCTACAACGGAGTCTGAGATTCTGGGAAGGTCTGTGTTTTAAGGATTGTTAAGGCAAAACATCCAGAGAGACAAAAAATATGGTTACTCATATTGTGTTGGAGTAGTGGAAGAAATAGGTCAGATAAACCAAAATAACCTTTGCTGGGAAACACAGTAAGCTTCGAGCATCTGAGAACATGGAGAAAAAAGATGGCGCAGTAGATAAAACAGTAGACTGATGGATGTGTGGCCTGAAAGGAGAGCTGCAGGGAACACAAAGTAAACATTTATTCTCCCTGCTCCCTAAGAAATTTTGTCACCATCAGTTTCATCACTGTCTTTCCTGTAAGAACGATACGTCTTTCTATTTCACTAGTTAGAAGTTTGTAGGAGAAAGCATCTCTTTCACCTGTCCCACATGCCAAAACCAAACCAAACCAACCCAATGGCCAAGTATTATAGAGGATAGAGATTATAATACTATGTCTTAGACAATTGACTTGTACTCATATGTATACCTTGAGAATTATGGTCTTCTCATGACGGGTGATGTTAACACTGTGGGGTTGTCCATTGGCCATGTTCCTGTGGTCTACATCAATATTGTAGGGCTCTCTGGTGCCACCCAGGTTGTACCGAATCTGTAAGTTTCCTATATAAGGAAAAGGAAAGAAACTCAGTAATTTCTTTGCTCTAGGTTTCATTTTAATGTCACTTCCCCTCCCCCATTAAACTCTGCGCCCTCCTTTGATGCCCGTTAATACCATTGCTGTTCTAAATTCTGATTCACTGGCTCAGAGGCACACTAATCCAGAAGGGTTAACAGCACCAGGCACATGCATATTTACAGTCTACCAACAACGAGCCATCAGTGACCATCAGCTCAAAGCTGAAGCAGCAAATTTCATAAATGATCCAAGTTAAGATTGTGCCTGCGAAGGAAGAATGAGGACATATACAATATAGGACTGTGGAGACGCCTGCAGGCCCCACAAAATACTGTGTGAGATAAAAAATAAATGTGGGATGCAGGAATGGTCGTATGCCATCAGCAAAGGGTGCCATTCGGCATATAAAAGAATCATGAGCACACAATATTAAAAATAAACATAATTTACAAAAGATAAATACATGGGATTTTGGATGGCTTCAGTGAGACCACGAAAACAAAGCAATGAATTTTATTCTAGGTTACAGCCTGCATCAACCCGAAAGCAAGTCAAAGGAAAAGATGGGCTCCCAGCTCCCTGGTCCTCGCTGCCTCTCAGTCATAGTTCTCTTTGCCTCAACAAATTATTCTTGTTTTTTCCTCTCTTGTTTCTTGCCAACAATGACAAACAGCATTCAAAAAGACTAATATAGCATTCCAGATCCTGCTTCCAATTAATCTGCACAGCAAACATAATTTGTATTTCTAATTTATGATTTTTAAAGACATCAATTTTTTATCTCATTTTTTACTCAACTTGGACCCTTCAGGTTAACAGCTTTTGACGTCTCAGAGCTTAAAAACAGAGCTGGTGATGTAGCAGGAGTTTGACCAACTGTAAATCACCTCACAGATTCTTTGCTGCCTCTTTCATTTTCCTTCCAGAGGAACGAAAACGATATTCTGATTTTTAAGTCGTGAAATAAAAGATGATAATTAAAACTTAGAAAGCAAACAGAGAGGAAAAAATGAGAGAAAGTCACTGGAAACCCCACCATCCAGAGATGTATTTGACAGGATCTCCTTCCAGATAGTTCTCATGCCCTTATATATACAGAAACAAATGCAAGAGTTTCTAAATGCTGCCCTTCCTTATTTAGGTATTCCAGCATTACATACGCCATTTAAAACATTGCATTATGTTCCTGGAATTGAAAGAAACATTCATTAGGACCATCAAGAATTAATTGCATCTCCTGCTTTGCCTTTTTGAACGAATGTGAATGAGGCTTCGCTATGGCTGAGTTTCACCCTGGGATTTTATTCCAGGCTCCTTTGCTTACGGCATTTCAACAAAGCATGGTTGATTTTCACCTTGTAAATGTGTCTAATTCACCCACTCTTCTCCATTCCCGTGGCCACAGGGCCTCCACTGGCACGTGGAATCCCCTGGTGTGAATCCCCCAAGAGCCGGCTCTCCGGGATGATGCAGTGCTGTGCAGAGCCCCCCGCCCGTCCTGGTGCTTTGTGCTGGCCGCCCAGCATCAGCGTCCCAACAGCCACCACCTGCGCCTCCCCTGCAGCGGCTTTGGCCTGGATCACCCGGCCTGAATCGGGCTCTCCCTTAAAAGGGACCACTCTTGACTTCATTTCACTTTCAGGTGAGTCTCGTCTCTCTCTGCTCTTCCCATTACTAATCGCATTAGAGGAGATGTCTTATTGGCATCTCAAACACAACATATGCAAAACCAAACTCTTGATCTTTCCCCCAAAAAAGTGTTCTGTCGCAATTTTCCACATTTCAGTTAATGGCCACTTCACGCTTCCAGTTATTCCTGCCGACAGCCCTGACTCCGCTCTCCCTCCTGTGTTAACACATACACTCTGTCAGCAAATCTTCTCAGCTCTATCATCAAAACAGATCCTGAATCGTGCTGCTTTTCATCACCTCCATTTCTACCCCCTGGACCAAGCCACTGTCATCCTTCGCCTGGGTTCTCGTACAAGCCTCCATCCTAACCTCTTTGCTTCTGCCCTTCCCTCTCCTTCCTCCACCCCAGCCCGGCCTCTGGCCCTCACATGCTCAGTCCCCGCTCCACCTGGCAGTCAGAATGGGCCTCTGCTCAAATTGTCCAATGGCTTCCTATCTCACTCAGAGCAAAAATCAAAGTCTTCACAGTGGCTCACCAGCCCTGTATGTTCTTCCTCTATCATCTCTGACACAATCTCTTATTACTCTCCTCCTTGCTCACATCTCACGAGTCCACACTGGCCTCCTTTCTATTTCCCCAGAAGTCAGCACATTTCTGCCTCAGGGCCTTTGCACTTTCTGGTTCTTCTGTCTAGGATGCTCATTCCCTGACCATCTGAATGGCTGACCCCTCCCCCTCTTTAGGTTTTTGCTCAAGTACAGTCTTCTTAGTGATTATTTCTGTAACTTCCTCATTAAAACCAGAATTTACCCACTCCTTTCCCTGGGCCAGGCCCTCCTTTTTCTGCTTTATTTTCCTGATCATAGTTCTTACCATACAACACACTACATATTGTATTTAATTTGCTTATTGTCTGTCTTCTGTCACTCAAATGTAAGCTCCATAAGAGCTTTTGTTTATATGCTTTATGACTTTATTCCCAATGTCTGGAATAATGCCTGATACTTAGTAGGTGTTGAATAAATATTTGTTGAATGAATGAATGAATGAATGATGGTATCCCTGCTTTTGTGCTTTTTTCTTCCCCATGTTTTCTCTGCAGAGAAATCTTTTCAAAATGCATAATTCATTATGTCACTAGTTCACTTAAACTCTTCAAAGCCTTGCAATTGCTCCTAAGACACATACATTCTTAACACGGCTTATCATGTCCTCTCTGAGCTGAGTTCTGTCTGTTACTTTGTTTTCAAATCATGCCATTTATCCTCTCACTTTTTACATTCAAGTTACCTTGGACTTCTCTTATGCCTAGAAAATACAATGCTCCTCCCTACCTCAGGACCTTTGAATATGCTGCTCCCTTTTCCTGAGCTGCATCTCTCCCTACTCCTCAGTGTTTTACCCTATTTTTTTCCTTTATCCTAATAATAGCATTAAAAATAACCTACTGTTTGGGAGTAAAGGAAATGACTAGATAGTTGTTTGAATTACATGGAGAAAAAGCAGGTTGATTGCCTTCAGTTTTTATTCTCCACTTTATTTCTGGTGTTCTGACTTTGTATAATTGCAGCCAAGTTTCTTAAATAGATAGCTGTATTCATTCATCATTTGCGTATTCATTTCTTTAGAACACATTTATTTAGTGCCACACAAAGCACTGTTGAACCCAATTTCCAGGTCTGAAAGTGGGCTGTCTGGCTGGCTGTAAGCGTGGAGTCCACCTCTAATACACCATCCCCGAGCCCCAGTTTGAGCCAGGTTGTGCCTGGATCTGGGGAAAGAGAGAAGCAAGAGAGGGCTCTGCGTTTGAGGGCTAGAGGTCAGAGGAACTGGTAATTATGCAAAACACCGGACATTTTCCTTTCTACTGTCTCTGTCATCGGTCCCTTTATATTCCCCAGCTCATTAAAATCAGTATTCAGTTGTTTTCATTATATTTTCTCTTTTCTGGCTTTCTTGGACTTTGTAAATATGATTTAAAATTTCTATAACTGCTTCACTTAATGGCAACAGAAATGATTTGCTCTGAGAAAAAAAGATAAGTTGGAACTTTAAATTTATGTATAGTGAATATCCATAAACAGTAATGGTGATATTCTTGAATAATAAAATTTAAATGATGTATTTATTCCTTCCAAATAATAGCACAAGAGCACCGCTAAATGATGGTAGGGAGAATATTAATATTTGTCCATTAAAATAAAATATTATTAAAATGGAGAGATACTTCACGTCTTGCGTCTCCTGTTCATCTCCCAAGTGAATTAAAGCAGTTATAAGGGACAGCTCTTTTATTGGCTGCAGCAAATAATGTGCTTAACAGATTTATTCTCTCCTGGTCATCATCGTTATCATCAGCAAACACTTACGGAGCACCTATTGCTGCTGGGAGCTTGCCATCTCGCTGGGAAGACGGGGCATATTTGTAATAGAGACAGCTAACAATACACTGCACTAAGTGCCAAACAAATGACACTGAAAATCAGTGTAACAGGAGTTTAAAGTAAGAAGTCACAGAAAGGAGGCGAGACTCGACCTGGGTCTAGAATGAAAGGCGGGTAGGAGGCCAGAGAGGAAGATGGAGGTTTCCGGGTAGGGGACACAGCGGGCAGGAACACGGATGTGCAGGGAGCATTTGCGGAATAAGGAATTCCTCGAAAATGAAGAGTAGGGCTACGTGGCGCTGAATACGTGGCCAAATGTAGATTAAATCAGTGGACTCTGGATAAGAAGAACCACTTACACTTATATGTTGTCTCTGTGTGTGTATATATATTTATATACATGTATATATGGTGTACTGCTTTACACTTATTAACTCATCTGATTTTCACAAAACCCCTAAGAGGGAGACACTATTTTACAGATGAGGAAACTGAGGCACGGAACGGCTAACTGATTGCCCCAGATCACACAACCCGCAAATGCAGAAGCAGAATTCAAACCCGGACATTCTGGTTCTACCCTCTGAGCTCTTGCCCATGAGGCTGGTGGGTCTGGATCGGAACGTTGCAGGATTCGGGATTTCTCCTGCTGTTACTGGGGAGGGGGCACTACTGATTGTCTGACAAGGGATATTGTGTATAAATGAAGACCTACCCTGGCGGTGGCACTAAGGTTAAGGTGGAGTGACTGGAGGCAGAGAGATGGGTTGCGACAGAGCTTCCCAGCAGCCCTGCCAAGGCGCCCTGCCGTCTCAGGAAGGGGGAACGGGGTGCCAGGGGCACGGATCCCCTCAGACCCCAGCAGAGGCAGCTGAGGCCTCCCGAACACAACCTCATCCATTTACCCAGGTGCATGCTAATATAATAATTTCCTATGTGTGCCGTGACATGAGCAATGTCAGGAAGCACTGAATGAGAAGACATTTGCCAGGATAGTAGAGCGGGGAAAGAAAGCAAGGGATGCCCTTGAAGGACAGGATGAGAATAGAATCCACAGGACTGGTTTGCCTGGATGGCCCACAAGAGGGGGAAGAAGGGAGCACTTATGAACGACACCAGGCTTGTGAATTCAGGTGTCTGAGAGGGGGCAGCATTGTCAGAACAAGGGGACGGGGCTGGTTCTGGGGAACTGAGGACAACCCCGCTTCCAACACGTTAGTGAGAAAGATGCCTGGGCTTTTAGTTAAGACTTTTGATGGTTTCTTTTTTTCCCTGATATTTTAGCATAGTCCTTATCGATTTTTTCCTGAATTAATTCTTCAAATTTTTCTAACTTTAAATCTCAATTCATAAAAAGTGCAATATTTCAAGTGTGAAAAAGCCAAATTCTCATCAGCAGTTTGAGGATGGCCTTGCAATAATTAGACAGAAACCGACTGGCCATGCTTTCCAAATGCACTCAGAGTGTTTTAGAGATCTCCGTGGTATGGAGAGCGGTCGAGAACTCTGAGCCTGGAATCAGACATCTGGGTTTAGAAACCCTGGTTTTGCCATCGCCACCTGAAGTGCAAGTCACTTAACTTTTTAACCTCTCTGCACTCCAGTTTTGTCATCTTTAGAAAGGGGCTAAGGATGGTATCTATGTCATAGAGTTGCGTGTTCATAGGAATTAACGCATGTGAAACACATGCACAGCTTCAGGCATCATTCAATGGTAGCCGTTCATACGGAATTGATTAATCGAAACCCTTGCACACAACACACGCCCAGAAACACAAGCATGAGTGCTTGCAGGGGTGGGTGTAGTCTGCGGGAATGTGAGTTACTGAATACAGATGGGGACTAAATTTTTGTGTGGCAATGACTTGAGGAGTAGACAATACCGCATCTATTGGGTCATGTTCATTAAACTCTTGACAAGCTCAGCATGAGACCATCCTCTCTCACACTGAGAGGCTGGGACATGTGGGTGGAGAACATCAATGGATTAAAAATCTATTTAACCTGATCCAGGAGAAATAAACTTAACTCGTGAACTACTGGAAAGCAGGGGTTATGTTCTTTTTTCTTTTGCTTCCTCACTGACTGCTTTTACTTATTATCTTTCTGATAGAACAGTGACACCCGCTCATTGTGAGAATTTGACTGTGTAGAAGTGTATTACTGAGGAGAAGCAAATCAACAATCCAGAGACATTTTGTGCTCACATTACTTTTTCTTTTCTATCCATACCTTTTACAGAGATAAGCTGATATTGGACAGGCAAGGCTGTATCTTGATTTTTTTTTTTGTGGTTTTACATTAGATGACATAAAGCTTTTTCTCCATACTCTTTTCTCCATTACTCCTCATAAATATTATTCTTAATGGACACATACTATTCCATAAAATGTTGACTCCCTCTTTTACTAACCATTTTACTGAAGTTGAACTCCTAGGCTCTTCCTACTTCTTATTTTCATAAATAACACTATGATGAACATCTTCGTGCTGAACTTTTGTCTGATTTTTGGCTTATTTCTTTAGGAATAATTTCTGAAAGGGAAAATCCTAGGGAAGATTTTTCCCCCATCTTTCTAACCAGCAGTGCGTTGCCCAGAGAAGAAGTTTAAGCATTTACTATTTTTCAAAACTCAACCTGACTTGGGCTAATGGTAATAATTTTTGGCTCTCGTAGAAGAAAATCTTGATCTTTAAGATGCTACATCACTGGAATAATCACGGAAGAGCAAGAAGATAGGGCAATGAGAGAGGCGGCTTCCACATTTTTAGCCTATACAACCTCTCTGGGAAATGAATGAGAGAGATTTGCTCCTTGATATACCTAAAATGTTTTTAATTGTAAAAAAGCGGTCTTCTTAAAACCTTAAGTGTCTTAGAACTCAAGTTTTCAGAGAAGAAATAGACCCCTCCATGCTTGGCACGTGTACAGACCTCAGAACTGCTTAGACTTCTCTCTAAGGTCCCCAGCCCATCTGTACACTGTCACCAGGATGCCTCCTTTGTGGCACCGTCTGAGCCTCTCTGGCTCATTGCGTATTTGGAGATCAAAATGGTCCCAGATGTCACAAGTCTAAATACACCCCTGCTTTAAGCAACGCTTATGCCGGCGATATAGCTTATGAATGTAAAATTCTGAGAGGGTTTAGGAATGAAAACATCTCTGATTTTCTGTTTCTATTGAAAGTTCCTATGTTCTCTACGAACCTAGGGATATATTACCATAAATCAGGATAATTTATTGATTTATTTATATTAAATTAATTTTACTACTTCAAAGCTCATCTCTGTTTAGTACAGTAGTGAATGTATTTATTTGATAGGAACAAAAAATCATTATCATGCATATGAAACCATCTCATATTCATGTAATATGTTTCTTGTGGAGAAGTTGACATGCCTTTGCGACATTTCCGCTATAACACATTGCCATAAAGCACTCAACTGACAAGTTGCTTTCCTGGCTCTCACATAGAGAAAGGAGGTTCAAAGATATCAGATGACTTGCTCAACGTCCTGTGGGGAATAAAAGACAAGCCCAAAACAATCCAGACTCTTCCTAGAACATTCTGTCCACCCAGCAGTAAATGGCAGAAGGCTAGGTATCCTTGTCCTTACCGGTGGGTTTGACGAGAACTGCCAAGAAGTCGGTGGTGAGAGAACTGACATAGAGGAGAATGCAAGGCGCCTTGGTGGTACTGAAGCTGAAACGGATCTCCTCGTGGGCCAGGTCTTGGGGGGAGTTCTGCTGATCAGGGGAGTTCTCCGATCTGCTGCCCGATTCTTTGGCACTGATCCCGGATGCCTGGAAGTTATACCGTAGCCACATGCCCTCTTCGAAATATGCACCAACATCTGTTGAAAAGAAAAGGAAAGAGAAAATTGGAAAATGAAGAGACATCTGACGCTGATACCACCAACAATTGAAACTTGGGCAGACTGTTCGGGTGATAGTGGCCTCAAAGGCAGTTCACGGAAGGTACACTCTTCTCCAGGAAGGGGATCAGGCCCAGTAAACTTCTCTGGAGATGAACATTACTTCATCAATATGAATACTCTATCAAAAAAATTTAAAAGAACATGTAACAGTATAGTGATCTATGCACTTAAAATATAATAGTAAAATTAAGAAACATAAATCGGACCAGAAAAAAACTTCATGTTTAGTACTTAGACCAAATAATTAATTAAGGCTGAAAAGATACACTGAAAACTAAGGCAGGGTTATAATATAAGCAACCAATGCAAGGAGCTCGTGGGCATCCTCTTTGAGATTATTTTTGCTTTGGACACTCACCCAGGAAAGCCCACTGACAAAACCCTGGCTAAGTCCTGGGAGGCTGTGGGGACAGTGTTTAAAATCACGAGATGTGAACTTAGAGAGAAGTGAGTTCAAATTCGGTGCTGCCATTAATTAGCGATGTGGCCTGAGGGGAAGTTGCTTAACCAGCTTCTCTAGGTCTCAGTGTTTTATATGTGAAAGGGAGATAATAATAGTCAGAATTACAAAAGATAATTAGAAGTAATTAGCACATAATAAATAATACCTATTATTGTTATCACTATTGTTAAGAAATGAGAAGAAAGGTCACTAAGCCTTCATCAGTCTTTTCCTGAAGCCTAATCAGTGCTAATTGGTTTGTAATCATTTCCTGGCAGACAAGCTCCCGCTGTGGTTTTCCTGTTGTTTGCTCCCAGTGTCCTAAAACCAACCCTGCCTCGCCGTGGAAGGCTGAGGCCCCCTGTGAAGCTTTGTTCGGTTGGTTCCAGGATTGGTGACTGCTTCATCACCCTCTGCGTGTGCCCGTCTGAAAGCATTTCTCAAACTTCTTTGCCCATGGAACCCGTTCTTCTCACGAGACTTGACATCCCACTGAATTAACGCTACGCTGACTATATTTTGGGAAACACTGCTCTCCATTGTCATTAAAGGAGAGGACGAATTTTAAAAGGATTCTTTCCTCTGGGAGTTTGGAGGTTGGTTCTGGTTAAAGAAGTCCGGCACGAGCAGCCCAGTGTCGTGATTCAGGGTCTGGAGTCAGACACGTCGGGGTGAGTCTCGGCCTTGCCGTTAACCAGCCGTGTTAACGTGGTCGTGGCCTGAAACTCTCTAAGCCTCAGTTTCCCTCTCTGAAAAATGAGGCCTTGTAGGTTGTTGTGAGGATTAAATAACTCACATAAAACACTTAGCTTAGTCCCTGGAATATATGATAAGTGTTCAGTAAGGATTATATTACAAACACAGATTACCATTTCCTTTTGAGGGCCACAGCTGCCACCTCCTACCACCTCCGTCACACCATCACACACACAGTACTGTGGTAAGTCACCCTGACACCAGTACAGAGCCCGCCATAGTCTGCTTCTCACTGAGCGCTGGTGGAGAGGTCAGGGAACTCCGGGCTCTCACGTGCGGGCAGTTCTATTCTCCTCCCGGCCCTCCCAGCCCAAGGACTTGTGCTAATGTGTGTGTGTGTGTGTGTGTGTATGGGGAGGTGTTGTCCAAAGGATGGCGGGTACTGTTGGCATTTAGTGGGCAGGGGTAGGACTGCCGAGTGTCCTGCAATGTGTGGGACCGGTTTGCACAATGAAGTATTGTCCTGCTCAAAATGCCAAAAGTATCCTCATTGGGAAACATGTCAGATGCATAAAACGAGTCCCTGCCCTTGAAGGGCCTTCTGTCCAGCAGCTGGTGTGGGAGGAGACGCATCAGCAGTTTGAGTCCAAGATGGTGGGAGTCATGGTGGTTTGTGCTGCAGGCTGTGTGATCAGAACCCCCAGCTCACTCCCTGGAGATCCTGAGTCAGCTTTTCTACTCTTTGAACGAACACCAATTGCCACCAGTTCCGTGCCAGGCACTATGCTGGTTTCAATCCTTGCTCTCAAGAAGCTCCTGATCAAGAGGAGGATTTAGAACAGCCATTGTTAGAAGGCAGTGTGGTAAGTACAAGATCAGGTATATGCAGAGAGGAACCTGGAATAACAGGGGCACCAGCCCTGACTCCAGGGCCCCAGGTATGCTTCCTGGGGAAAAAGACATGGAAGCCGGGTCCCAAGGAGCCAGAGGTGGGTGGCTCTGTACAGGTGGAGAAGAAGAGCAGCCTTCTAGCTGAGGGAGCAGCATGAGAAAGCACTTGGAGGGGAGAGTCTGCAATCTGAGGCATCGCGCCCCCTCGGTGAAATTCATCTGCTCCTTTTACAATATCAGTCATTCGTGCAAGACTCACTTGGCTCCCACTACATTTCAGGCTGGGTCTTGGGAAAACAGTGAAAGAGACAGAGATAATCCTGGGCCTCAGCAGTAGAGAACCTAGTGGGACAGTCCTAGGACGGGCTGCTGTGAAGGTGTCTAACAGATGGTGGAGGTGAGTGGGGAACAGCAACAGGGCAGGCCACCTGGGGCCAACACACCAGGGGTTCACTCTGCCAACAGAGAGGTTCTACCAGGTTTGGGTCCTGCAGGAGAGAAGAGGTAGACCGGGGGCCTGGAGCCGGGGAGGGCAGGAGAAAGGCTAGAGATCAAAGCCGGAGGGTTCCAACAAGCCAGAGGGGAGCAAACAGGGCTGAAGAGATAAGCGATCAGGCACCCGAAACTCAAGATTGAGGAGCGAAGGACGTAGGGAGGGCTCTGGGCAGCAGAGGCTGAGGAAGCAGGTAAAGCCGTGGAGGCCACAGGACCTGGGCTTCCTCGTGCCAGGCTCTCTCGAGTTACCCACTCCCAGAGAGTGGGCGGAACTCAGTCCCTGACCACAGTTCTCAGGACACTTGCCTGGGAGCCTATTAAAATGCTCGTCCCCAGGTCCAGCCCCAGAATTTAGTTGGAGGGTCTGACTCAGAAGGTCTTTAGAATCCCGGAATATAACAGGCCCCCCAGGTGATGCTTCTGCACACACAAATTTGAGATCCTCGGAGCCGAAGCTGAGGCAGGACGGCATCCCTGGTGGGGCAGGTAGCTGAATGGTCCTGCTGGGGGCAGATGTTACTCGTTTCTCAGCTAAGCTGGTGACGATCATTCAAGGCAGATCACGAACGGAAATTCGGAAAGCTAAGGATTTTAGATAAACAAACCAAAAGTATGCCACAGAGAATACTTTTGGTGTATTTTAGACTTATCGTTAAAAAGCTTATGGCTATTATGCCAGTTTTGGAGGAAGGGATATACCGCGCTTAAAAGTGTTATTCTGAAACCACGGTCATAAACCAAGCGTCGAACCAGGGCCTGGGGGAGCTGTGAACCATTTAAGGTTCGAAGCGGCAGATTTACAGCTGTCATTTCATTGTTACAGACCATTTTAAGGAAATGCCAAATCGGGGCACTACAATATCATTTACGAAAGTAATCTGTCATCCCTTCTGAATGAATACCTAAAATAATACTAATTTAACAAAGCCCAAATAACATCTTTCTCCTCATTAAATAACCAAAAGGCATTGATTTCGAATGCTTGGTTTATGGTTTTTATACGAATATGAGATAGCTTAAGTTTTATGACATTCATTTTTTGGATAGAAAAACGATAAATTTTGGGTCTAGTTATTCTAAGATGCATTATGAAAGAGATTTCTTGAATTATATCATGTTTCTCAAAATTTTGAAATATATTAGGCCATCTGCAGACTTAGAGTCATAAAGGTGACAGGAACCTTGAAGCAGACAAGGAGTCTTGTCTTAACCATTTCTTGGTCCTCAAAGGGGATCATATGTAAATTACCTCTGATCAAGGAAAAGAAGTTTGCAAATGTTTGGAATAAAATCCACAAACCATCCATCCCAGAATAATCTCATAAAGATATTCTTCTGTTTGTCTAACCAAATCCCTGATGTGTGCAGTAGAAAAAGAAACAGCTGGCACTCACCCCATTATTAAATTGCTCCTCCAATTTCAATAATTCTATTCCTTTCGCCTTTTCACTTAGGATATATTCTGAAACCTATATTTTAAAAATCAACATGATTCTTTTTGTTCTCTAACTTCCCCATGAGGATGCAGAATTGAAAGTCCACAACTCACAAATGAGCTCTTTTCCAAAAGTTTATTTTAAAGTCAGTAGCTTGCAACTTGGAAAGATTTCCCCATAGAAACAATGCTTTAAATGATGGGTAGTTTGTCAGGAGAGTCCACAAATGCTGAATCACTCTGGATGGGTAATAAAAGATAATTGAAGAGTGCCATTGTGTATTAGTAATTAAAACAGAAACAACAACAACCACAAAAAAATATTAAGGTTTACTTTGAATGTGAGAACTCCAGGGAACTCTGTTCCCACAAGGATTTCACCTAAATTATCCAGCGTCATGCTGGCAAATGTTAAACAACCAGCTCTCTGGGGGGACAGGAGGCCCTGATTTGTAATGTGTGCCTATTCCCATGGTGTCAATATTCCCATCTTGGCTGACTTCAAGCTGCCAGCACAACATCACTAAATAGTGAGTTGAGAAGAGATGTTCACATTTGGTCTCCCAGCTTGTGGGAACTGCCTCCAGCACGTGATCCTCCTCCACTCACTCACTCACTGACGCCAGTCATTCAAGCAAACGGCCTTTATTGAGCCCCATTGTGGCCAGCGTCTTAGTTGGCTCAGGCTGCTGTCACAAATTACCGTCACTGGGGGGCTTAAACAACGAAAATGTATTTCTCACAGTTCAGGAGGCTGTAAGTCCAAGGTCAAGGCGCTAGCCAGTGCAATTCCTGGTGAAGGTCCTCTTCCTGGCGTGCAGACGTCCATCTTCTAACCCCATCATGGGGGCCCCACACTCATGATCTCATCTAAACCTAATGACCTCCAAAGGCCCCACCCCCAACACCATCCCACTGGGGGTAAGAGTGTCAACATATGGATTTTGGGGGACACAA